GTGACAGCCTTTGTTGATTTTACAAACCTTGTACGCATGATTTGGTTGAATTTGCACAGTGACCCTGTAAAGTCTGTTCATCTCAGCCCATGTTACTATCTATTCTGTATTGTTCTATTACCTTCTATTTGCTCATTTCTTTATGTTTGCTTCTACTCCATCCTGCCACTGAAACCCCGGTGATTGCTCAAGCCCATGGATAGTTTGCCAGTCCTTTTCTAACTCTACTTAGCTGTTACAGTTGCCAGTGTTCTTGTCACATTTGTTTGTTTGTTTTTGTCAGTCATGGGGCTTGAACTCTGGGCCTGGGCATTGTCCCTCAGCTCTTCAGCTCAAGGCTAGTGCACCACTTTAGCCACAGTGCCACTTCCTTCATATTTATTTTGATGGCACTTTTTCTTTTCACCATTCTGAGTAATTCTCACTGGATCTAAGACTCCTGTTTGACCCTAAGAACTTTCCAGAGGTATATCCTATTCTTTTTTTCTATAAGTGGACCTTTTATTTTTTCCATGCCTGGGAACTTGGAGCTTTGTGCAGCCAATCCCTGAGCTACATCCCTGGCCCATAAAAATTTTAAGGGCTTTTCAATGACTTTATCTACACCATATCTGGAAAAATAATCAGAGAGCAACTAATAAATGGCCTTCTATATGGGATGAGATAGTCTTGTTTTACACCAAAGGCAGAAGGAAGTCACTGATACATATTTTTTAGAAGGAAGACAGTGATATGGCCTATAAAACAGAGATCACACAGAAAGAGAAAGAGATTAGGGCCATGCAGGTTGAGATTGTGTGACAGAAGTGCCTGTGGGGAAATCAAGCACTGACATCCACTGAAAGGAAGCAGAGGAATATAGAGCACTGCTGGGAATATCGCTTTGGATGGAGTACTTGCCTGCAATAAATAAATAAATAAATAAGAATGTAATCTAAGGCTCCGGACACAAATGTTGCCTAGAGCTGAGGATTTGCAAGAAATCTGCTTCTAAAGAGGGAAGAATGCCCTGGCATTGACACTGAAGTGCTAAGAATTTTATCCATAGAAGCTCTAACTTAGCAAGTTATGGTGCTATGTTATGTCTTCATTTAAAAACTGTTATATCAGCCTCAGATTTGGTCATTAACATATGGAAAATATATTTTAGCTCATTTCAATATCCTTAAACAAGTTTTTTTTTTAATGAAGGGAAAGAACAACTCTTAAGACCAGAGGGAAATGCTAAAACTCTTGTCTAACTTAAGATGTTGTTACCTGAACCTTGCAAGGGAGCCCGAGTTAAAACAGCTTTGGAAAAAATGATTATTTATTGACAAGTTTCAGAGCTGTCTAGACATTTGAAACTTCTACAAGGGACCTTAGGGCTGGGTTCTGGTGGCTCACACCTACAATTTAACTACTCAGGAGGCTGAGATTTGAGAATCAAAGTTTGGAGCCAGACTGGGCAGACAAACGAGATTCTTCCCCCTCCCCCTGAGCCCCTTTTCCCCTCCCCCCCCCACCCCACTAGTCATGGGGCCTGAACTCTGGGCCTGTGCACAGTCCTTCAGCTCTTCAGCTCAAAGCTAGCATTCTACCACTTGAGCCACAGATTCTTATCTTCAATTAGGCAACAAAAACAGGAAAGTAGAGGTGAGACTCAAGTGGTATACTAGCTGTGAGCCGGGAGAAAAGGTGCTGAGCAAGAATGCAAGGTGCAAGCTTCAAGCTTCAGTACCAGCACAAAAAAGTAAAAGGTAGATAGTGGTAGCTACTTGTCAACAGGTTAGAGCTGTGATCTAGTATTTTCTTTTTTATTGTCAAGGTGACGTACAGAGGAGTTACAGTTATAGAGGTAAGGAAATGAGCACATTTCTTGTCCAACAGTGTTACCCCCTTCCTCATTTTCTCCCACTTTCCCTTGCCCCCAACTCCCTCCCTGCCCCCTAAGTTGTAAAGTTCATATTCAGCATAGTGTCTTGTATCGCTCTTGAATTGGTTCACCCTTTGTCCTTTGTCTCACCATTTTGTTATTCCCCTTCCTTTCCCCAAATCAGATAAACATATATAAGAACCAGGGTACCAAAAACAAAAACAGTAAAAACAAGGGGATAAACTATCAGAAAAAAAGAAACTAAGGAAAAAGAACTGCAAACACCACACACACACACACACACACACACACACACACACACACACACCATCTCTCATTTCCATATCTTGGAGTTCATTTTGATTAGCATCATTTTATATGGCCATATGTACATAGCTTTTGAGCTATTGTGAACCTTTGCTAGAACTATCCTAAACATATTCTAGTTATTACAAATAAGGGAACCCATGGAGCCTATGTTTCTTTAGGTCTAGTGTACTTCACTTAATATGATTTTTTCCAAGTCTTTCCATTTCCTGAGTCAAGGCAACACCTCGATGCTTCAGTTCTCTTAACTATGAAGTAGGGACAGAAATCGTCCTTATGGCATTGAACTACTGGGAGATTTGAGTAGAAACATACATGTCATCCCTGCTACATAGCAAGTTCCTCTGAAAGATTTAACATTTACATATAATTTTTTAAAACAGACTTTGATATGTAATCCAAGGTGGCTTTGAGCTTAAAATCTTCCCACCTCACAAGTGCCAGGTATTCATTCATCATCATGCCCTGCCTAAAATATTCTTACAACTTAAAGTTTTAAAAGTTAACTCTGTTTTACATGACTTCAGGATTTTCACAATTGCCAAATATCAGAGTTGTAGAGTACAACATTTAAAGAGAATTCAAAATACAGGTTTGTATAGCTCATGAATAGGTGAAAAATTACCCCAGTGAAATAGTCATTAATCCTGGCTGTGTCACTACCTATGAGGAACATGATTTAAAACTTGAAGGATTTGAACTAGATAAGTAATCTGGTTCCTTGAAACTCAACACATTATTTCATTCCCAGCTGCCCTATACAGCCTTGGAGATTCATAAAGATTACAATTGAAGAAAGTCAATTGTTCTCTGGGTGTATTGTCTCATTACCCCAGCAGTGACAGAGATGTACCTGGTACAAAGGTGTATGATTAGGATAAGGGCTGAGGAGAAGGAAAGATATATTCTTTACCTCCAGCATGAACCACACCCATGGATTTCACTGCATTCCCTGAACTATCTGAGCTGCTGTCATTTCTCACTTTAGAAACAAAAGGCAACTCAAAGAATGATTTGAAATAAAATCAGATCCAATCTATACAGCTCTTATTCTTTACCATATAGGAACTACCCTTTCAATTAGTTAAAATAAACATGTTTAGTCCACACTGTAGACAAAGGTTGTATGTTACTTCTGGGCACTGTCCTCCTTATATCTTTGACATTGGTTTTTTTGGTCAATGTCATTAACTAGTCATCTGTAAATTGGGACATTAGCAGCTCATACACTGTTACATTACAGAGATGCTGGGGAACAATTATATATGTAGAGTCTGCTAAGGATTAATAAGTGCTAGCAATTTCCCTCCCAGGTAATCGCTTCTGTGCCATAAAGGGATAGTTAAATAAGTACTTCTATGTTAATATCATTTTCAAGAGATAAAAAAGAAGATTCTAAAATTCCCTTATGTCTAAATTGGTACTGCTGCTGGGGAGGTGCAGAAACTTTACAGTCGTGCACTTTTTAATAAAGGATGATTGTCTGCTCCAATAACTTCTCTGGTTAGAATTTTTCCAGTTCCACAGTGAAGGAGACTTGCTTTTCAGGAATGCAGTCTTGGTCAGGACGTCTGTAACTTAGGCATCTGGGCTTCAGTGACGTTCCTGCTAAGTGGCAAGGTCAATTCATCTGGAGCAGGGTGGCATCTTTTCACAGCTGTCTTGTGGCAGTTGTTCAGTCTGGTCAAACCTCTGCTCACCAGTGGACTTTCTCATCTCTCACCTTCTCCATTGCCTCTTTCCCATGGCTTCCACTCACCTTTATGCTCTAACCTGAACACGAATACTAAAACGCAAAACCTAAGACTCCCCTAGCTAGAGAACCGGGATTGACCTGCTTTAAAATCAAGTTATAGTATATACACTCTCTCCTAACTTGCCATTCATTTTACATATAGCAGTGGGCTGCTTCTGCCTTCCTTGCTCTTCTTTCTCCCACAAACACACTCCATGGAAGGTTCTCTCATGGAAGACATTCTATGAATGTCTGTTTCAATGTCTACCTTGACAGACTTTTGACACTCTACCTCTTCTTTTTAGAATTCTCTAGAGCTTTTAGGATTTATAGCCTTTGGGATATAGGGTGCGTAATCTAGAGCAGTATCTCGTCCAAAGTGAAGAAAGAAATACAGAATGCTTTATCCACCCATTTAGAATCCTCAGTTCTTAGGCTCTATTCTAGCTTCAACCAGTCAGTGTTTAATTCAGTAAGATACTCCAGGTTGGTGTTTCTCAGCAATTTGAGACAATAGTGGATACTGTTAAAAAAATAATTTGATACCCTCATTCTACTACATAAGGACCACTACACCAGCCAAAGTTAATTTAACTTTAGTTAGTTGATTTTTTTTCCCAAAATATAATCTTTTCTGGAGTATTTTTCCCCACCCACAGCATTTAAAATAAAAAACTTGAGCCAGGCACTGGTGGCTCATGCTTGTAACTCTAGCTACTCAGAAGGCTAAGATCTAAGAATCATGGTTGGAGGCCAGTCTGGGCAGGAAAGTCTGAGACTCGTATCTTCAATTAATCACCAGAAAGCCAGAAGTAGATCTGTGGTTCAAGTGGTAGAGTGAAAAAGTTCAGGGATACCACCTAGGTCCTGAAATCAGACTCCATGACCAACACAATAAATAAACAAACAAATGAATGAATGAAGAGCTTCAGAGTCTAAAATAAAACGATAGTCATTTTCTGTTTTGGCAAAATAATAGTCTTTTATTTTAAATGCGAGTGTGTACCTGGTCTCTGTTTTACACCATGGAGTGCTTCTTATCTTATTCTGCTTCCCTCACAATCGAGTCTTCTTCTTTACCAGGTGCAGCTACATGATAGACAATGTGATTCTACTGATGAATGGAGCACTGCAAAAAAAATCAGTGAAAGAAATTCTGCCTAAGTGCCACCCCCTGGGCCGTTTCACAGAAATGGAGGCAGTGAACATAGCAGACACCACCTCAGACCTCTTCAATGCTGTGTTGGTTGAAACACCATTAGGTATGAATATATATGCATAGAATGGCTGCCCATGAGGTGACTGTCATTATGAAATGCACCTGAGTTCACAGTTTTTTTCAATGCATGCAATTTTCTACAATGAAGATTCCTGGCTGTGAAAGAGTCATTAGGAAGCGTCCAATTTTGTTTCCTCACTTTCCAAATGAACACCAGTGAAACCACCTGCCCAGGGTCACATAAGAACCATTTGCAGCAGAGAGGAACTCTGGCTCACCTCTCAGCCTCTAAAGCCTTGTACTTTCTCTGGAGCCAGTGGATGATAGAACCTATCATTTCTTAAAATATTAATTTTCTAGGTTGGTTTTATGTACTTAATTTCTTGCCCTTTCATTTTAAACTTCTGTGTAAATAATGTCACATCCAGGGAGCATTTTGTTTTAGGAGGCTTAGTAGTGTCATTTTTTTTTCTGAGATGCTTAGGAGTGTCTATCAAACCAATGAAGGCAATGAACTGAATGTGAATTATAAGTTAGCATTGACAATAATCATATTATGCAAAGTGCTAAAGGGATAAGTCTGGCATTTTATATCTGTTCTTGTTAGGACATCTGAAGTAACAGTTTGCCATTGATCAATTTGTTAAAATACTTTGCTTTCTCCACATAAACCATCTGATTAATGTATGGTATACTTCCAATGGTGTCACTCCTTTGGACAACTAACTTGCAGACTAGCAAAATGAATCCCAGGAAGCTGAAATGCGCATTGTCAGAGGAGGGCGAAATCAAAAGGAGGGAGGTGGATGAATGGAGAGAGAAAGAGTGGATGAATCCAGTCATAGAATTCAATGGACATACATGAAAATGGAGCAGATAACTTGAAGGCATAAGTGCACTGAGAGAGATGTGAGGGAATGATTAAAATGGTAACATTTATCAAGATGATTGTGCTCATAAACTGCCATAAAACTCTAAATAACTACATAATGATGATGATGATGATAATAATAATAGCACTTAAAGAGTGGTGTGCTAAGGATTTGGGTGAACCTACAACCCCCGATAACATACTGGCCTTTTAAAACAGACATTTTAAAAAAGTAAATAAAAAAAGATTGTGTCACCTTGAGTGCCCATGGCTTGGGCAACACAGCCATGTGGACACAGGGTCAGAAATGAAGCCAGGCTTTGCCTGGTCCCAACAAGGTGACTTGAGGAAATTCTATTCACTCAGGTTTCCTCATTGCAGAAATAATTCTATCTTACAATAATAGAGTTTTGAAAACTAAGTAAAAACATAGTTTTAGTACAAGTCAAAGCGTGGTATAAGTTTAATGGCAGATGGTAAACATTGCTGTTAGATAATCTGGGGCAGGGAGGAAGGGTTTCATGAAGTAAGTTTGAAATGAATATATATATATATATATGTTAAATATATATATATATAAGTTAAATAAGTTAAAATGTACTCAAGTAATAATGTACTCAAGACATAATGAATAATAACTCCTATCATTATAACTCCACAATATTGTCACTAGCACTGAGCAGAGGGGGTTGTGTTAGGAAACACTTTCCACAGTTTGTAGTCTTGTTTCTGACTCATATATCTTGTGTTTTAATCCTGGCTTCCAGCTCCATTCTTTCAAGACTGTATGTCTGAAAATACTCTAGATGAACTGAATATTGAATTACTGCGTAATAAACTATACAAGGTAATGGTTTCAAGTACATAGTCTATTGTAGCTTGAGTTCTTTATTAATAAGGTTACTTTGCCCATTAGCCAGCTTCTGTCATTAAGAAGCTATGAAGATTTGGAATCTGTCTTTTATTGTCTTGGCCTGTCTTTTAGTTACAAGTGTATATGTCAGCTTCCTTCAGCTAGCAAGTTTTGTGGAAGAAATAGCAAATCTGTGCTTCTGTGTTCCTTGCTCCTTGTGCTACGCTCTATGTGTATAAAAGTGAGTGTCTGGGTGATGGTGAGAAGAAGGATAAAAGAATGAGGAGAGCCCTATGAATTTATTTAAGGCAACCAGCATATAGCACATTTTCTGTTATATGGTGTTCATCTTTATTGTCAGTCTTGTTATTGGTAGAATCTTTGTATCTTAACAGTCTGCCCATGAAGTATTAAACCCAGTATACCAGACTGTCTAACTGATGGACAAGATGCCATATGTACCACTGCATAATCTCACTGTCTGCCTGGTTCATTAGAAAAATCCCTATGTATCATAAGATGACTAACATCTGCTTCATACAATGAAGTACTTTTGGACATTCTCATGAATAAATGAATATGTGCTGCCCTGCTCTATGAATATAGTATGTTATGATCAAATACATGTTCCCTCAAAAACATTGCATTACAAGAAAACTTTCTTTTCGTAAAGAGGCATCTCTCATCAAAAGCATGGTCTCGCAGGCAAGTTTTGTTTTTATAAAGACATATAGACCTTGAGCATTTCTGAGCAATAACTCATACTTATATGAACAATTTAGAAGCTTCAACTCAACCTAACCACCCAACTATGACATCGGTTTGTGCCCATTCCTCTGAGACTAAATCGAGGCATGGAGAGGTCCGCTATCTTTGGCATTAACCAGTTAACCAATGTTAATTCCAATTAGAGTTGGACTTCAAACACAGGCAGCCTACAGCCCACAGCCCAGACCCTGCCTTTCTAATATGTCCCCACATGTGTCTCCAAGAGAAGAAAGGTCAGGGCCATGAAAATCACTTGCTGAGCTCAGAGAAGAACTTAACACTCCTATTAGAATTAACATTCTTGTTGGAATTCTAGCCAGAATTAACCATGTGAAATAACTCAAGAACCATGGGGAAAATGCTTGTGAAGTAATTATGAGTTATGATAAGTTTACCTTTGCTTTTTATTGAGTTCTGTGTTAGTCTATGTCACAATATTTCAATGTGAAAGTTTCTTCCAACCACATTATAAAATATCTCCCTGTGGGAAAAATAATTCAATTGCCATTAATGCATTTAATAAACCATGAAAACTCATCTAGAAATTTCCAAGAGGAAAATTATTCATTTTATTACTTGGTGATTTTTTTTCTTTTTTTTTTAAGTCTTACCTTGAGGCATTCTATAAGTTCTGCAAGGATCATGGTGATGTCACAGCAGAGGTTATGTGCCCCATTCTTCAGGTAAGTAAAACTCTTTGAACTTTTCTAGGCCACATCATTATGAGTTTCTCAGACTTTCACTTCTCTGAGTCTGCTTAGGTTGTTTTTCTTTTTTTAATCTTAGTTATCTAAAAATGAAATAAGTACTACATTTTATTATATGTATTTTAGTGGTAGAGCATACACAAGGTACTGTAGTCAAACCCTAACAATACAAAAACAAAAAGAAAACACAAAAAAAGTTAAGTGTTGACAAGAGCTGGGCATGGTGATATACACCGGCAATCTCAGCTATGTGGGAGACAGAGATGGGAAAGTAGAGGTTCAAGGCGAACCCTAGAAAATGTTAAGGACACTTTATCTCAAAAACAAAGCCAGGCATGGTGGCATACATCTTTAATCTTAGCTGCTATAAAAGAAAAGTAGGGGGCTAGGAAGGTGGTTCAGTGGTAAAGTGCTTGCTTTGCATGCATGAGGCCCTGGGTTTGATTCCTCAGCACCACATAAGCAGAAAAAGCTGGACGTGGTACTGTGGTAAAGTGGTAGAGCACTCACCTTGAACTGAAGAGCTCAGAGACAGTGCCCAGACCCTGAGCTCAGGCCCCACAATGAGCAGAAATAAATAAATAACATAACATAACATAAATAAAAAACACAGAAGTAGGAAGATTGTTGACCAATGCCCACACATGCAAAAAAAAAAAAACTTAGAAAAAAATGCTGTGAATGTTGCTCAAGTGCTACAGCATTTGCCTAGCCAAGTTCAAAGCCCACTACACTTCCAAAGTAAAAAGAAAAATGTGGACAAAAATTCCGTTATGATTCATTTTAGTGGAATGTAAAGAAATTAGATTATAATTAATTTAAAATGTTACATAGATATTAAAAAAGTTCACCCAAAAAGGAGATATTGGCAGCTGGGAACCCCCACAATTTAACAACAAAACCCCATCCACAATAACTTTGTAAGGTTTAAAATACAGGTTGCACTACACAGTTCTGGAACATTCTAATTTCCAGCATAAACACACCAGTCAAACAGGTCACAGTGGGCAAACTCATTTAACTATGAGTCAAATCCACTATGATATCTACCTCTATAGTTGGTATTTACACTCCTTAACTCTTCTTTCTCACCATAAATCACATCTATGTTCGGAGTTTCTTTTGGGAGAAGGTTGACATGCACGTGCCTGGGACAGTGGGAGAATGGGAGGCTCGGCAGCGTGGCTAGCACTGAATATTAAATATTTAGCTCTCTCTGGTCTCTGCATATACTTGAGTAATAAAAGAAATATGGGCTTTCTGAAACTAACTTTTATCTAAGGAATGTTTTTAATCACTAGATAATCAGTCTCTGTGATTTTAACAGTGAACAGATATTCAAACAACCCCAAAGACTCCTGATTTCAAGAAAAATCTAATCAGTGATATATAAATGTCATTTGCATTAATTTTTGTCGGTTATGGGGCCTGAACTCTGGGCCTGGGCACTGTCCCTCAGCTCTTCAGCTCAAGGCTAGCACTCTACCACTTGAGCCACAGTGCCACCTCCGGTTTTTTCTGTTTATGTGGTGCTAAGGAATGGAACCCAAGGCCTCAAGCCTGCAAGGCAAGCGTTCTACCACTGAGCCACTTTCCCAGCCCTATTTGCATATGTTTTAACTAAATATTCTGCAATGGCATAAACTAAAATTAGCTCTTAAACCATCTATTACTATTTGTTTGTTTATTGGTGCCAGTCCTGGAGCTTGAACACAGGGGCTGAGCAATGTTGCTGAGCTACTATGCTCAAGGCTAGTACTCTATGACTTAAGCCACAGCTCTATTTCTGGTTTCTTGGTGGTTAATTTGAGATAAAGTCTCACTGGCTTTTCTGCCCAGGCTGGCTTTGAACCATGATCCTCAAATCTCAGCCTCCTGAAGAAGTATAGGCCTGAGGTACCAGTGCCTGGCATAATCATTAAGATTTTCAGTTAAAAAGTTATTTTGTTATTTTCTGTTGATTGTGTGTGTGTGTGAGTGTGTGTGTGTGTATGCTGGTTCTGGGGCTTGAACTCAGGGTCTGGGCGCTGACCCTGAGCCCCTTTTACTCAAGCTAATGCTACCACTTGAGCCACATCTACTTCTGGCTTTTTGGTCATTTATAGGAATTAAGAGTCTCACAGATTTTCTTGCTTCAGCTGGCTTCAAACCACAATCCTCAGATCTTAGCCTCCTGCATAGCTAGGATTACAAGCATAGGTGTATCTGCCCCTGTTGAAATTAAAAAAAAAAACAAAAACAAAATGAATCCTTGAAGTAAAAATCTGATACAGCTTAAAAAATTGTCCACATTTATATCACACAGAAAATGGGCATTAAATAAATAAATGATATTTTCATGGTATATTTAATGTTAAAAGTGACATGTTGGTCATATAACATCAGTAACCTGGTGACTTTATGAAGCTATCTAGAGTGATACTTGAGCAAAAACATGCTCAGGGACAGTGCCCAGGCCCTAAGTTCAAGCCCAGAACCAGCAAAAAAAAAAAAGGTAAGGTAGGTATGCATACAGTTGTAATATATGGAAATAATAAGAGATCAAAGGTAATAATAATAAGCTAAGCCTCATTATAAAACAAATATGCATTGGATGTTCATTATTCAATTCTGAATAGCCTGAGGCTGCCACATAGAAATATGTTAACCAATTCTAACAGACTTTTTAATTTTTGGAACTTTCACAACTCTCCAATATTCCCTCTATTGTTCCTTCTCAAAGTCAAGGCACAATAGCTTTCTTTTTGCCAGTATAGGGGCTTGCCAGATTGAGGCTTCACACTCTCACTCAACAATCTTGCTTGTGGCTGGTACTCTATCATTTGAACCAGACACCTCCAACCTAGCTTTTTGATGGTTCATTGGAGATAGAATATGGAAGACTTCTCTTGTTGTCTTGAGTATCTTCAATGCTATCTGCTCTACTCTGCCCTTTTTTCTTCATAAAACCCTAATGTTTTAAAAGAATATCTAAGAGAATTACCTCCATGGTTACTCCCGCTGCCCTCATGTTTACTTAAGATTTCTCTCTCTCTCTCTCTCTCTCTTTTTGGTCTGTTGTAGGGCTTAAACTCTAGGCCTCGGCGCTGTCCCTGAGCTCTTCAGCTCAAGGCGAGTACTCTACCGGTAGAGCCACAGCTCCACTTCCAGTTTTCTGGTGGTTAGTTGAAGAGTCTCACAGACTTTCCTGCAGGGCTGCTCTGAACCATGATCCTCAGATCTCAGCCTCCTGAGTAGCTAGGATTACAGGCATGAGCCACCAGCGCCCAGCTATTTAAGATTTCTTATTTCCTTGAAATCTCCCACTTGCATTTCTTCTCTTACTCCTGGAAGCTCTAAAATTACTGACAAGAATTCTTGTACACAGTAACCAGAAGCAGTTGCCTTTGTTTCCAAATAAGGCCACTCCCTGATTCTGGCCCACGTGTCATTTCCATGACTATCATCCAAAGGGTCAGAGGGAACTCGCTCTCGCTTTCCTTCTGATAGGAAACACCTGCTCTAACAAAAGAGCTCCAGTAAAATTTGTTGCAAGCCTGTTTTTTTCATGACGGTCATGAAAGGAATGAAAGATAGCCTAGAGCAATTCTTTTCACTTTTCATACACATAGGAATGACCTTGGAATCTTGTTAAACTCGGGATTCCTGTTCAGTGGGATTGGATTGTGGCCTGAGACTCTTCATTTCCAATGAGCTTTCTGATGATGCCAAATACTAGCTACTCAACAAGCTAAGACATAGAAAATTATGATTCAAAGCCAGAAAAAGGTCTTCAAGACTCTACCTCCAAATAACCAGCTTTTTGGCTTTTTGCCAGACTGGAGGCATGGATCAAGTGGTAGAGCACCAGCCATTAGCAAGAAAGCTCAGAGCACGAGGCCCTGAGTTCAACCCCCAATGTTGACAAAAGGAAAGCTACTAAGCCATGACTTTCAATACCATCATTGTAGGGAATACTGGGGAATTTCACAAGTTGACTGTTCTGTTGGAGTCAAAAAAACAACTAAAATAGTCCTGTAACAGACAGTGGCTGTTCAAAACTGGACAATGAACAAGGGAAATATGATCCTTCACAGACAGGATCATGTAGTGAATGCAAACTACAGATGCAAAATTCAAAACAATGGGGAAATCGCAGGGCAATCCAAGGACCTGGAGAAGAATTTCTGAGAGCCAGAAATTCTACCTACACCTAGCACTGGAAACTCTACATATACCCAGAGTATGTAGAGAAGGAACTCCTGAAACCAGTCATCCAAAAACAGAATGATCAGCGTGGACTGGACAACCAAGAGAATAGGACTGCGAGAACAAAGAAATAAAAAAGAAATCTAAGAAAGACATGGTTTAGAGGAAATAGAGAGGTGTGACTTGGTATGGAAAAACAGGCTTACTCAGGGTTCAGCACAGAGAAGATGGGACTTGAATATCTGTTGTTTTGGTTTGGTTTGGGGGCTTGAACTCAAGGCCTGGGCACTGTCCCTCAGCTCTTCAGCTAAGGCTAGTGCTCTACCACTTGAGCCACAACGCCACTACCAGTTTTCTGGTGCTCCATTGGAGATAAGAATCTCACGGACTTTCCTGCCCAAGCTGGCTTTGAACTATGATCCTCAGATCTTGGCCTCCTGAGTAGCCAGGATTACAGGTGTAAGCCACCAGCACCCCCCACCCCTGCTGGGAACTTGATGATCATATAGCCAAATCCCCTCATGTTACAAGCAAGGAAACAGACCTTGTAAGGAAGATGACCTATCCTAAGCCATATAATTCTTAGCTACAGAGCTTAATTGATAGATTGACTGATGACTGATTTTTGTAGTACTGATGTTTGAACTCAGAGTCTCATGTTTGCTTTGGTTTGCTTGCTTAACTTCTACTGTACTACTTCAACCACACCTCCAGACTGCTTTTTGCTGGTTACTTACAAGATGAAGTCATTTCTACTTTTTTGTCTGGTCTGGCTCCAAATGGTGATCCTCCAGATTTCAGCCTCCTGAGTAGCTAGGATTGTAGGCATCATATACCAGTGCCCAGCGAGAGCTAATTATTTTTATATGTAACCTAAGACATTCAGAAAGAAAAAAAATCATGAAAGCACAAACAAATGGTAATTAGCATAAAATTTCATCACATATGGTAGCTCATGCCTGTAATCCTAGCTATTCAGGAGACTGAGATCTGAGGATCACAGTTTAAAGCCAGCCTGGGCAAGTCTGTGTGAGTCTTATCTCCAATTAACCACCAGAAAACTGGAAGTAGAGCTATGGCTCAAAGTGGTAGAGCACTAGCCCTGAGCAAAAGAGCCTAGGGATAGTGCCTAGGCCCTGAGGTCAAGCCCTATAACTAAATATATATAAATATATAAACATATATATATATATATATAGAGAGAGAGAGAGAGAGAGAGAGAGAGAGGGTGGGCTAGGTATAGTTCAATTGTAGGGTAATTGTCTAACCTACATGAGACACGGATTGATGACTAGCACCACAAATAACAATAATCGCAACAATTAAAAATAAACAAACATGTATGACATGTCCTTTCTTTTAATATAAACACCCCGATAGGCACTTCCACGCACATGATCTTATTCTATGCCTGATTGGACTGTAGTAAATATTGTTGCCTCTTTTATGGAAAATACATTTGTGACGCTAACAGTCTCTGTGCTCCTTGTAGGATGCTCAGAAAATAAATTTGGTGGGGTTTTAGGAGTCCTAGACCATCGCAGTGCTATGCAATCCTCTTCTGGCAGGCAGAGTTACTCCCTTCTACAAAAGAGACTAAAAGAATGTTAATAGGGGCTGGGAAGGTGGCTCAGTGGTAGAGCACTTGCCTTGCATGCTCAAGGCCCTGGGTTCGATTCCTCCGCACCACATAAGCAAAAAGAAAAAAGCCGGAAGTGGCGCTGTGGCTCAAGTGGTAGAGCGCTAGCTTTGAGCTGAAGAGCTGAGGGACAGTGCCCAGGCCCAGAGTTCAGGCCCCATGACCGGACCCAAAAAAAAAAAAAAAGAAAAGAATGTTAATAACACCTGTCTGCATCATAATTCGACGTAGGTTGGGGAAAGGAAAGCCAGAATTTGTCTACTTCAGGTTATGTTTGCAGCATTTAACAGATAATTCAACTGCACTGATTTTATGTCTTGCAAATTCAGTTTGAGGCTGACAGACGAGCTTTTATCATCACTCTTAACTCCTTTGGCACGGAATTAAGCAAAGAAGACCGGGAGACCCTCTTTCCAACCTGCGGCCAGCTCTATCCTGAGGGGCTGCGCCTGTTGGCTCAAGCAGAAGACTTTGACCAGATGAAGAGAGTGGCTGATCTTTATGGAGTATGTTAGTCCACCAGGTCCTCCCAAAAACTATGCTGTTTCATCCCATGGATTTCTTTCAAAAGCTATCACATCAGACTTACACTTCTCAGTCAAAGAAGTTGTCATGTCTGTAAAGTAGCAAGCAGTCTCTCTTACTGTAGATTTCTTTCTTGAAGAAATGTTCTAGTCCAAGCTAGTTTTTTTTTTCCTCCCCTTAAGGTTCTTGGCAAGCAAATTCTTGTTTAAATCTCTAAGGAATGGTCATGTGAAAGCTCCTTTGAAGTATTTGATAAAGCACATTCTCCCTAGAGTCTAGGGCGGTGTTTTAGAAATGTGAGCTCAGGTCAACATTATATAAAGTAGCCTGACCTTCTGGTCCTTTCTAGTACCCAAAGGGGAAATAGAGTTAAGGCAGAGTATTTATATGCATTATGGGGAGAATAAGGATCCATGTATGGGTTTTTCCATTCCCTTTTTGGAAGAGGAAAGAGAATTGCTTATGTCCTTCCTCCAGCATTTATCTGATCTGAGACAGCCCTGAGCTTCTCAGATCAGTTTCACAACTTAGCCCAGACCCTGTTTCCTCTGGCTTACACATAGTTATGTGCAGATCCCATAGGTGACTTCTCCTGGACTAGAATGACACTCACCTCTTCCTGTGGAGTTCTGATAAGCCTTTACAATATCTCAAGTGTAATTGTATGGCACTCTTCAGTGTTATTACGACTTGGGCTTTCTCCAGATTTCCACCCCTTCCTCACCTGAAATTTTAGGGTAGTTTTAGCAGCTCTCATCTCAGAGTACCTATGAACCTATATGGACCAAACTACAAATATTTACAGCACTCCAAGAACTTAAGGGGGAAAGAATCATAAAGTGTATAGTGACACTAGAATTCATCTTGCATCTTGCCTTGGTATTTTCTTTTGCAGGGGGTGGGGGATGGGTGGGCTAGCTCTGGGGCTTGAACTCAGGGCCTGGGTGCTGTCCCTGAGCTTCTTTCATTCAAGGCTAGCACTCTACTACTTGAGCCACAGCACCACTTCTGGCTTTTTCTGTGTATGTGGTACTGAGGAATCAAACCCAGGGCTTCATGGATGCTAGGAAAGCACTCTACCACTAAGCCTTGCCTTGATATTTCTGAATAAGCAAATAGGTTAAAATTTCCACAGACTCTTGAATTATCTTGATTTGTTTTAATCAGGAAGAAAAAATTATATGTTCCAGTATAAATTTTTAAGTACCATCTGTACATTTCTAAACAACATATCCATATATATTTACATGAATATTTCTGTAAAATTGATCTCTTGCCTTTGCTTTTAAGGTGTACAAGCCTTTGTTTGAAGCTGTGGGCGGCAATGGGGGAAAGACATTAGAAGATGTTTTCTATGAGCATGAGGTATGACATATGTTTATATGCTTTTCTATTATTGTGGGATTTTTTTTTCTTTTTTCTTTTCTTTTCTTTTTTTTTTGTCAGTTGTGGGGCTTGAACTCTGGGCCTCGGCACTTTCCCTGTGCTCTTCAGCTCAAGGTGAGCGCTCTACTGCTTGAGCCACTGCACCATTTCCAGTTTTCTAGTGGTTTATTGGAGATAAGAGTATCATGGACTTTCCTACCTGGGCTGGCTTTGAACTATGATCTTCAGATCTCAGCCTCCTGACTGGTGCCTAGCTTATTGTGGACATTTTCAAAATATTTTCTTCAAGATTTCCTTTTACCAAGGATCAATTGACCAACTTGATGGTTGTGAGTCAACAGTGTATTTGTAACTGCTGTAGCGCACCAGGCACTGTGACTCACAAATGATAGACAACACCACATGGAAATGTCCTATGCATAAAGACAGGACATAGTGAAATTTGATGGAATATAGCTTTTCTATAACCAGTTGACTAGAGAAGCAAAGCTAGGATATTAGTACAATTGAATATTGATTCTCCTCAATGTTTGGTTCACCTTACTCTAATGCAACTCTCCCGAAAGAAGGAATTATCCATGATTATAACACATGGGCACAATTATGACCCTTAAGAATTATTCTCTTGGAAATCCACCCACAGGTAGTCTAAATCATCTCCTTTCCTAAAAAGGCAGAAGACTATTGAATCCATTGATAAGCAGTTCCTGGGCTACTGTACTATTAATAAACAGATGGTTATTTTTCTGAACAAGTAAATTCCTATAAATCCCAAGAAATTTTCTAAGTGCATCTGTTTCTTTGAATACATTGGCATGTCCATCTCAATCTGACTGAAATTAATAAAGAACCAGAGTTCAAGGTTAGGCTAGTTACAGACAGTAGTTTAGGAACATCCTGTAACTGGGTAACAGACATATTCCAACAGCTCCAACGTATCTGTTGTAGAAAGAATTAAAACTGCATACAGGATCATTCAGAATTCTCTGCTGCTACCCCTCTCTGGAGAAGGAAGCTATTAGGAAGCTATACTTGGCAGAGAAACGAGTGTCTGTTCCTGAGAACAGAGGCAGCCTTAGCTTCCTGATAATTTTGCTTGAAATTTTCAGAGCTGGGTGAGGGTCTGTATCTCCCGCCTGTCCTTTTTTTTTTTTTTCCTGTCCTAAATGGCCAGTTGGAAAAGAATGTAGAAATTGCTCAATTTCTGACTTTACTCCAGATAACAAATTCTTTTTGGAAAAAATATTTTTGCTCACTTAACTTTTGCAGGATAAAAACAATTGAACAGAATGGAAAGTCGCCACAGACTATTCTAAAAAAGCTTTGACTATTCAGTCTAAATTCCAGAAGCTTGTGACAGTACCCTGGAGAGGAGTCAGAGAGCTGGAATATCTTTTCAAAATTTATAAAGTTACGGCCCAAAAGAAACATTTGAACTAAGTGAGGTGATCCCACTAGCTGGAAGCCAGATAAATATGACTACAAAGTTAGACACAGTCCAAAAAAACAGCTGGAAAGCTTTATATCAAGGGAGCTGCTAAGATTTGAAGCCCGTCCTGTGAGTCCACAGACATACAATAAACCACTGTGATCTCTAGCTGTCAGAGTGTCACTCCAGGTACCAATGGCTCACACCTGTAATCCTAGCTACTCAGGAGGCTGAGATCTGAGGATCACAGTTCAAAGTTAGCCCAGACAGGAAAGTCCATGAGAGTCTTATCTCCAATCAACCACCAGAAAAGACCCTATGGCTCAAAGTGGTAGAGCACTAGCCTTGTACAAAAGAGCATGAGGACAGTGCCCAAGCCCTGAATTCAAGCCCTGCCACCACCCCCAAAACAACTTTTTAAGAAGTGTCATTCTCCCTTTAGAACTTTCCAAGTTGCCTCTGTATTCCTCTATTTGACTCAGCTTGGACACTATTTAAATACAAATAAGCAGAAGCTCAACTGTAGCTTAATATTTCATATATATTTGAAATTAGTTCATGGTACAAATTGTTTTTTTCTTTTTTTCTTCATCAGGTACAAATGAATGTGCTGGCATTCAATAGGCAATTCCATTATGGAGTGTTTTATGCATATGTAAAGCTGAAGGAACAAGAAATGAGAAATATCGTGTGGATAGCAGAGTGCATTTCACAGAGACACCGAACTAAAATCAACAGTTACATTCCAATTTTATAAATTAGCAGAGAGGCTCAAATGCAGAAAACCATGAATGGTCATAGAAGGCTATTGAGGAAAGTAAAAAAAAAAAGAAATCTGTTACATTATCAAGGTCATAGAAAATAAGCCACCTTGCACCTTTGTAAATTGTAGGTCCACTGGAGATCCAGTAATCTCAACTTGAATCAAAGTTGTTTTTTTGTTTCTTGTTTGTAATGTAGCAGCTTTAACTGGATTCTAAATTTTGTCTCAATCTTCACTGGGCCTTACACATTAATATCAATTAACCCTATAGTACTTTTTCTCTTCTAATTTTGTTGTGTTAGAAATCAGATCTAATAAAACTGTTGCATTTTTGGTTTCTCATACTCCTCTACAGACCCAAGTATTGAGTATCTGCTTTATTTTTTAACTGTCTGTTCCTGTCCTACATCCACAAGACTCCAGAGCTGCGTGAAGCCAACATGGACCACATTTGACAGAAAATGTTGCATTCTTTTCTAGAACATTTTGATGTGAAAGGCTGGAGAGAGCTACACAGTTCTCTTCATACAAGTCATGTTAAATTTGTTAGCAAATTATTTCCTCACAATGTTCTTTCAGTTAATATATATGTCATATATATACACTTCATATATATTTACTTCATATATATATATATATTTGTAGATATATATATATATATATATATACATATTCTTCACACTTTACCAAGAATAAAATAACCCCATTGATTGTCTTTTATTCAGAAGCAAAATTCAGAGATATGGACTCTTCACAAACCTCAATAAAACTAGTGTATAAAACCACTCAAGAAAAAAATAAGAAAGCCGGGGCTGGGAAGGTGGCTCAGTGGTAGAGTGCTTGCCTTGCATGCATGAGTTCCTGGGTTTGATTCCCCAGCACCACATAAGCAAAAAGAAAAAACGCCGGAAGTGGAGCTGTGGCTCAAGTGGTAGAGTGCTAACCTTGAGCTGAAGAGCTGAGAGACAGCACCCAGGCCCAGAGTTCAGGTCCCTCGACCAGACCAAAAAAAAAAAGAAAGCAACAGAATACTGTACCTTTAACAAAAGATCTTTTTAAATATAAAATCTGTGTTTATTATGCTTTAAGAATTAAACATGTGTAGCCCAGAGCTGGTGGTTCACGCTTGTAAAGCCTAGTACTCAAGAGGTTAAGATCTGGGGATCACGTTTAGAAGCTAGCTTGGGTTGGAAAGTCCATGAAACTCTTGTCTCCAGTTAATTTCACCACCAAAAAGTTGGAAGTGGAGCTGTAGCTCTAGTGGTAGAGCACTAGTCTTGAGCAAAATAGCTCAGGGACAGTGCCCAAGTCATTAGGACCATCACCAAAACAAAAACAACAAGAAAAAGAGCAGTGTAGATAATTTGAAAGTTCATCCAATGAAATAAATATGCATACGAAGTATGCATACATACATATATACATCTAAAATTACTATGTTTCTAAAATATAGACATCTAAAGTAAATATATATCCAGTCACATCTATCTATCTGTCTGTCTGTCTATCTAATATATATATGTATATGTATATATATATGTATATATATATGTGTATATATATATATATATATATATATATGTGTGTTTAAACAGCTAACCCAACTTTTTTTAGTGAACCATTTTAGAAATTTCATTGATGAGCATTTTTAAGCATAAAGAAAAAAACAGACCCATAGAACCAAAAGGAAAGATAGGTGTCCAGGAGCACATCCATGCTAATGAAAACTTCCACCATGTTCTGTGGTATCTGAGAGTCTGCTAACCAAGCGACCCCTGGACCAGACAGCATCCTCCCTGCCTTAGAATCAGAATCAGACATTTTATGTTTTCATCTGCATTGGCTACCAGATAGGTGAAGTTGAGAGCAGAGATCTTGATAGGAAAGGGGTATGAGAACATGGAAATGCCTTTCAAACTACCCACTTCACACTCTACCCCTGCATGGTAGAAACAGTGGCCTTCTAGTCCCATAAGCTACAAGCTAAAGTTACTTCCTTTTCTTGAATATCCATCAGGAAGATTGCAGATCCACAGTCTGTTCCCAGTTGCCCCAAAGCCCAACCACTGTGAGGACCTAAAAGAGGAACTTCCTTGAGGCAAATTGTGGACCAATCACAGATCAAGAATGTACGACTTGGAATTTGAGGAACTTGTGTTGAAGTTTTTTAGTTTTTTAAGTGGCTGATTTCCTCAGGGCAATGATTTACAATGGATAACACAGATCTTTGAGGGCATTTTATGAGATCTAAAAAAAAAAAAAAAAAGATGAGATCTAGATGTCTAGTGCATAGAACCACAAAAAATAAGTCCAAAGTTTATTTCTCATTCTGCAAGGATTATTTTTGTTCATCTCTGTGTTTCACTGTCACAGGGCAGGCTAGATTTATTCAAGATGCTCTCGCCTCAACTTCCCTTTGCTGGAATTACAGATGTGCACCACTGTGTTTAGTTCATTGTGTTTTTGCAGCTACTGGTTTATCATCTTCCCTTCCGCATCCTCCTCCCAACATCTCATTAGTTTCTCAAACTTCTGCCTATATCAAATATGTGTGTGTGTGTGCGTGTGTGTGTGTGTGTGCAGTGAAGAAAAACTCAGTGCTAATTTTGAGGCCTTCACTAATAGTACCACTTAAAATACTATTAATAATGCATTATATTCACAAATAACACATGAGTGGCGTACAACTACAGTTTCCCTCTGTGTGTCTTAGTTAATTTTAGGACAGGAAAAAAATTCCCAGTTGTATGACTCATTTTGAGTCATTTTTGGTCTACTTTAGTTCATGAAAGTATTAATGCATTAATCACTAATGAATAAAATCATTAATGAATAAAAGTATTAATGAAAGAATTGTTGGGAAAAATAGGTCCAAAGGACATTATTCTTAAGAACTACATCATTTATGTACTACAGCTAAGCCCCAAAGTTTGAATGTCATTTTGGATGACTGCATAGCCATGCATAAGAATAAAATCTAGACACTATCATCTGTTAAGTCATTTCTCTACCCCCACCCCCATCATTATTCCATCAGTGACTTTCCTATTGTTGCCCTTTCTCCTCGGCACCGTAGGCTATAGTTTTCAGTCTCCCTCATTGACTAAAGGCTTGGTCACTAGTTGAAATTCAACCTGCCAAGCTCTGCAGCCTGGATGGCACCTGGCTACTTATGCTAGGGAAGGCAAGTTGGAAAGAAAGGAAATGAAATTAAGTAAATACCTGTTAAAAAAAAAACAGGGGTGAATATCAATATATTTTTTGTCGATCATGGGGCTTGAACTCTGGGCTTGGGCGCTGGCCTAGCGCTCTAACACTTGAGCCACAGTGCCACTTCCAGCTTTTTCTGCTTATATGGTGCTGAGGAATCGAACCCAGGACCTCACGTATACAAGGCAAGCACTTTACCACTGAGCCACCTTCCCAGCCCCAAATATCAATATTTTTGAAAGGAGATGTCATCAGAAAATAATCCCTTGAAGCTGATGGGCTATTATCATTTAAAAGCTAGGATCACTGACAACCTAGAAAAGCATAGTAGTGACTCTAGAGCTGTACCAAACTTCTGATACCCCTAGGACTGGTGTTCCTTGCTAGTTAGTGTCGCTTTCTCTGACAAAATGGCAGCACAAGATTCACCAATACTGTGTTGTATATAGCTCTTTAGCAGTGAAAGTCACCATTACCTTCTTTATCTTTTAAACAAACAGAAAGTCTAGCTTTTAAATAACTTATACAAACATTTCTGTCTCCTTTTGTAGAATGTGAAAAATTAGAACATCATTTTTCTGCTCAGCTATTAATGTTGAGATGCATACTTCATTGTATAAGATACCTAGTGTTTTATGCTTTGAGGTTGTATTGTCTCTTTTTGGAGTTTTTGGCTTGGTTTGTTTTTCTTTTATTTTTTCTTTTGTTTGTTTGTTTGTTTGTTTCTTTCTTTCTTTCAAGACATTATATATCCTGGGCTGGCCTCAAACTCGTTTGTCCTGTCTCCAATTCCTACAATTACTATGTGTATGCATCACTACATTTAGGCCAATTTGTGTTTTAAAACAATTTTACTTTTCATTTTAATAGGAGTGGATGTTAGTATATTTCCACTTATTTATACAACATCTGGACTTCTTTAAAAATGAAAAGAGAGTCGGCACCAGTGGCTCATGCCTATAATCCTAGCTACTCAGGAGGCTGAGATCAGGATTCAAAGCCAGCCCAGCAGGAAAGTCCATGAGACTCTTATCTCCAATTAACTACCAGAAAACCAGAGGTGGCGCTGTGACTCAAGTGGTAGAGCACTTGCCTTGAGCTGAAGAGCTCAGAGACAGCGCCCAGGTCCAGAGTTCAAGCCCCACAACTGACAAAAAAGAGAGAGAGAAAGAGAGGGAGAGGGAGAGAGAGGGGGGAGAGAGAGAGAGATTTTAAAATACAAAGGAAACTAAGAAAACTTTTGCTTTGTTATATTTTGTTTATGTTGTGCTGAAGATTATTCCCAGGGCCTTATCCTATCCCAGAGCTCGGTCCACATCATCCCAAAGTTCTACCCACAGCTCAGAGCTGAGATTTCCTAAAATAATTTTCATGATTAGATATTTTAAAAACTCAATAGTACAATTTTGGGGAAGGGATGAACTCATGTTCTTGAACTTGCTAAACAGGGACTCTACCACTTGAGCCATGCTCCTAGCTCTGAACGATGTATTTCTTAAGGTTTGCAGAGACCTGGGAGATGAGTAAGTATGGATGCAGCCCCTAGTGTCCAAAGCACATAGTTATACTCAAGGATCCACCCTAAAATACAATGGGCTTTGGAAAGTTTCTAGTAGAAATATAAGGATAGATGGACAAAATCCATACATACAAATTAATAAACAAATTACATTACAGGGAACGTAGCACTTCATAATTCGTACCCTGTGCTGGATGTAGTTCATGAAAGCCATGGAATTTAACAAGAGTCCTTAGAACAACTCCAATCATTTGCACTTACACACCATCTAGGAATCTAATGAGCTCCCTAGGACACATTCTCACATCCACCTAAACATTTCACAACACACAAAAAGACTATGAACCCTTTAAAATCCATTTATGAGCAACTATTGGTCTATAGACACCATGTTAGAAACCTCCATTG